AAGTCCTGCTCTGGAGCTCCGTCTAATAGGTAACATGACTGTTAATGCATTGTCAAAACTCAACTGTCCAATCACAGCCCTGATTTCTTGTAACCATAGTAACGTCATCTGTTTTGTCAGTTTCAAGTATTTCCTTGTACTTATTAAGAAAGTGAATTAAAATTTCACTTCCTATGATGATTTTGCCTCCAGCTTTTTTATAACATTGCAAATTAAATTTTCTTTTTATCTCTTATAATTTGAACACAATTTATGCCTATATTTATAACATAATATGTAATATATGTATAATACAATTTATTGGCAACCCGATTTCGACAAGTTACACCTAGTAAATTGAAAAGAAAGCTTTTTGTGTGCCAAATGTATACAACCAACGATATATAAAATTTGGTCGCATTACCTAACAAGTGACGTATCGAGGGATATATACGATCAAAGTATAAAGTGCATCGTGGCAAACGTGTCGTGTTAAATCGCTATAGTTTCCATTGGGTCGTCTTATAACAAGAACGAATAATTTGGTAGTCGGTCATTTGATATGACGTTTAATAATGCGTTGTTAATTTGTCATTGTGGGACGTAAATATTTTAACAGACATTTATAATTTTGAAGGTTGGTTAGTAAATGCTGTGTTTAGATTAAACAAACATGGATTGGTGAAACTGGGTCTTAGTATTGCTGTAGTCACTAAGTCTAAAAAAATACTAAATTTGTACAGATGACAAATTAAAAGGGAAAGGAAACGTTCAGCCTTTAAAAACAAAATAAAAACCCTCTCTCTCTCTCTCTCTGTCTCCTAAATATTGGCGTATTCCTATGGAATTGGCAAATGTATGTAAAAAAGGGTTTGTGAATGAACATGGTCGCGAATAGAAAGTGCAAACTTTAATATGATAACTTAAAATTATAACTCACATTTTTACATCTCTTATTCATACACTCTTAACATGTTGGAATAGAAGAAACAAAAAATACTTGTAGTAAATGGTGTTAAATTTGATGATTATTTGCATTCAATTGGTTTTAATTCAATAGTAGGTACAAGAAATTAGAATTATGAATAAAGAGATTTGGGATGTATACCTAATTATTTATAAATAAAAAATGGCCTACTCTGCTATTTCGCTAAACACAGAAATAATAAACAATCATTATTGTAGGAGAATATTTATTTTCTTTCCTAAATAAATTGAATTATAATATCATTGTAAAGTAAATAACGTTATTATTCGCTTTTCATAAGAGCTGTTTACATTCTGGGTCAAAACGAAACTTTTCAAGTAAATTGTATTTGTTGTAGGTGAATTTAATGTATATATAACAAAAAGCTACGGCATAATGCTGAATTAAGTATAAATATAGAAAATCGAGGTATAAAAAGGATGGCCACCTCGACCGGAAGCCATTCCTCCATCGTACGTCGTCGTTCCGGTGCGACGATATCCGGTGCAGCTCAATTTCCTGGCTCGTGGAAATTTTTATTATTATTTCTTATTTTACTATTATTTTCATGTCCTTTAAGGTTGCTGTCTCCTATTGTTTAAATTTTATGTCCATGAATAACGTCTGGGAGCCGTAAGTTCTAAGAAAAAATTTGAAACAAAGACCTTTAGTTCAATAATAATTGAAAGAATTATTATACCTGTGACATAATTATCAAATTGTATTCTTAAATAAGAAAAACATGAATAAGGTCACGAAAATTATTTAAAATAATGATAATTATAAAAAATAAATTAGAGTTGATGTAATAATATATTATTTGGCGGCTAATATTCAGTAATGATCCCAGTCTTTTATCTTTCAAGGCCATAATAGGCTTAACCCTAGACTTATTGCTTTCGACATACTCCTTTGTTAAAAGAAATGCCACTAGCCAAAGCTTCTTCATGCAAAACATCCATAAAAATATAATCTGCGTGAGCCGAGCCTATCTTATTTCTAGATATTTCAATAAAATTTAGTTTATTTAAAATTGTATTGCTTCTATTAAGATTATCTTCTAACAATTTAGTGCAGTTTTTTTTGTAAAAATACAATAATTTATGGAGTAAAAAATTTAAAGGCATATAAGCATTTAAAACAAGATCGAAATAAATTTATAGATTTCACATTTTATTTTTAACGACGGAACTCAATTTAGGTCGCAGAAAAATATAAATGAATCTATAAACTAGCACAGTATATTTTCATAAATGGAGCGGTGCGATCAATAAGTTCTTGATAAATTTAGCAACTATGTTCTACCATTCTCTGTAAAGTATATTATTCAATATATATTAAACGTTACTTTTTAAACACTTCGTTGCTATAATCTGATATAGTCCGTGACATTTGTACTGCAAATATTTTATCGTAAATAACGTATATATGTAAGAAGAATCAGAGATTTTTTGTGTGCTTTATTTCCATACAGTTCGAAGCATTGTGGCAGGAAGTACATTCTTAATATTTCTATTACAGTTTTAATATTCCCTGTATTGGAAAGGAGTTTTTATAAAATATAAAGTAAGTTGAGAAATAATTTGGATAAACGGAAAATCTGTTGGAGGTAATGACGCCGATAACTCTTAGTATATCCTATTGAAAAGAATAAATGTTCCGTGAACGTTTTCCATAAAACTTTATACCTTCTATTTAAATAAAAATGTGTTTCTATATGTGTAAAAAAAGTGTTTCTTTATTATTTTGTAGGTGAGTAAAAACACCAACACAAATTTTTATCAGATTTACAGTTAACGGATATTTTTGAAGAAATTGATTTAAACTAACTCTAATATAACGAAAATAACTTAACCAAATAATATTTGTGTATATAGTTATTCTAAGTTCCTGATCCTTTAGTGTGTTACGCAACAGATTATACCATACGCGAGGTCTATGTTATGCGGGTTCAAACTTTGTTTCCCAGTTTGGACCTACTCTCCGAAATATTCAAGATAAACTTTAAATTAATATGATAACATCTATCAAGAACGAACAACTATTATTAGAATCCAAATATATACAGTATACATTAAGAAACAAAAATAGGTCACCACTTTGTACAATAATGTGACATCCACAAATTATTAACAGTTTAATTAAAATTTAATAACATTTTTTTTAATAAAAAAAAAGTTGATTTTTATCCATGCGATATTGTAAAAAATATACGAAAGAGTTAAGATTCGTTTTCCCCGGCTTGAGGACCTCAATGAGTGTCAGCCGCGTGCAAAGAGTGAGACGGGGCGTTAAAATCTCCTTTTGTACACGTTTTTGTTCTTTGTCTCAGGCAGAATTTCAATATGAAAAAGCTGTTTTATTTGTCAGTTGTTATTTTATTCTTTCTATATTGTCATTAATAATATAATTTAATCTATGGATATTTTTAAGTATTGTGATAAGTATTCGTAATTATTGGATTTTACAATAGGGTTTTATTCACGCTTCATTTCATTTTTAACCTTAGACGTAGAAAGTTGAAGTTCACCGTGTAATTCTTCAATTTTCGAGTAATATACGTGCTGTAGTGTTACAGTATCACCAACTTTCCAAAATGAAGTACCTTTACTCTATTAAGTGCTTCACGTGTGTGAGTAAAATCGTTAAAAGACCATGATAAGATTTTTTTATTTAATAAATTTTTGCTATTATATATTATAAGAGATTATTGTGAATAGTCTATCTACTTCTATTGATACGTCATTGAATCTACATATACACCATAAACTCGTATCTAAATTATAGAGTGAAAGCTAATATAACTACATATATTAAGTGTAAAATTTTACAACCATACAGTTTTTATAAGATATTTCTTAAATTCAACTAATATAAGATTTATATTCCTATTCAAACTTAAAAACGTAGAATTTTCTTCCGACATATTAGGAATAAGTATGTGTAAGTGCAAACCCGACTGACTTTTCCTATTATAACTAAAACTTATTGCCGTTTATAGTGGTGGAGAAGTGATTTGAACTTTTTAAAATGATGAAGAACTTTATTTTTATTATAATTACTTAAGTGTGTTTTCTCAATCGATATTTAGTTTATTAAATAAAAACAATGCACACACTTGCCTTCCCAGTGGAAATGACCTATAATCCTGACATTATTACTGTAGTTAGAAACAACGTGTCTTCAAAGAGTTTTTAAATATATATGTCAATAGACACTTCACCTTGAGCTGTTGTATTTTTATCATGCTTTCTTATCTCTACTTGACTGAGATCAAAAATGATCAAATTTTTTGTAAATTTTTATAGTCAATTGATAAAAGTATAATATTTTTTATATATTTTATTTTAATATATTAAATAATATAAATTGCTATAAGAAGAGATTAAAATGTCCGATTTTATATTAATTTAGTAGAAAATAAAAGAGGTTTTGTTATAAAATCAATTCAAAGCATGATTTCCTATCCAAAACAAAAGAATGTTGGAAAAGTCGAGCTGAGGAAGGGACGGGTGAGATGTAAATATAATACGTAACTTGAGTAAATGCGAAGTATTTGAATTGAAATGTGTTGCACCTAATATATTTTTTTTTATTAATATTTACCAATACGTATATAATATATAATAATATGTAAGACTTTTTACGAAAAAATTTAATTTCGTATAAACTAAGTAATTTATCATATTAATCTACATTTATATTCAAGTATCATTGACTTCACAGAGTAACCTTAATCACGACCAGATGCGATTTAAGTGTCTGACTGACACTTTTAAGTAGTATATACGAAAATCATAGTTACATAAAAATGTATTTTTTTCTTATCAAAAAAGTATGTAATAAATTCGTATTTCTGAACAAATTGAAATAATTTTGGGAACAATTTGAAATAATTTCATGACTTTGAAAAATAAAAATTGCAATGAAACTCACTTGCCAAAAGAGAAAAAACATCAGGCCACTTTTAAAATGATGACAACTTTTTAATTTTGTATGTGAAAGTATAACGTGACATATTTTAATTTTACGATATTTTTTATTGCTCATCAAAATGCCATGGGGATGGGAATGTAGAGCGAAATTGTTAAAACAGTTACCGTCAAAGCCCACTGAGCGTAAGGGAAAAGTGTCTCTTGAATTTGAAAATCCAGCACCAAACTGCTATGATACTCCGGAATTATATTGTAAGACTTTATATTTATTTTTCCGATCATAAGGTAATAAGGAAGCGATGATGAATGCTTCAATATGTATACTATATCGTTTTGAATTAAGAAGCAATGAGAACAGAGGAATATGAAAGTTAAGTGCTTCCTATTATGAATTATAATAAAAATAATTAATATCATTGCAGCGACTGTAATATTTACTTAGAAAAATGCATTTAAAAAAAATCTTAGTATGTTATTAATGACAAACCTTTATTCGAAAAGTTATACATTTATATACCACACGAAATATTAATGATGTACAGTTTAAATGACTTGACCTAAATAGATCATTTCAGAAAAACCGTTTTTGTTCCTTAGGGAAACTCGATTTAATAGGGAAATTACAGGAAAAAGATAATTAAACTTCTTTGGCCTTGTTGGCGGTTTTAAGTACGAATATTTAAGAATTCATGTCACATTTCATTACTATTTTAGAAATTAAGAAAAACAATTTAGATATAAACAATCCTATAGTTTATCTGAAATCCCAGAAGCAGAAGGTAGGGGGAGCTTTATTATTTATAATGCATATTTTACAACTAAATGTTCTTTCAAAGATTTTTTTCACTGTATTATATTAAAAAATAAATAAAAAGAACTGAATACATACAAGTTTCACGATTCAAAAAGGCTTAGAGTTTGTAAATGTGGACAAAAGAAAAGTATTATAATAAAAAAAACGTGACTTATTTCTAACTACATTTTTATGTCATCTTATTAAGGTGGGAATGGATATTCGCATATAAAACGTTCGCCTGCTTTCACATTCGGACATAACATTCCTACAAAATATGGTAATTCGGCAATATCGCCGTCTGCACCAATGCTAGATATCTGTGGGAAAGGACATAAAGGTTAGGACATTATTGTCGGATATAACTATTTTTTTAAGCTATTTATACGTTTGAATATAAAATTTTTATATTTATTTAAAAATATTTTAGGGTTATACAAAGTAAAACATGGTATTATGTCTCCTCCGTTGGAATTACCTAGAGAGAAAGTCAAGATGCCTGGACCTTGCAACTATGCTCCTAATATTAGTATACGATACAAAAAGGCACCTATTTATTCTATGAGACCAGCAGCAAGACCTCCATATCAGCCATGGGATCAGTGGACTCCTTCACCTAATATGTATTTACCATATATACCAGGCAAAAAGTGATTAGAAACATATAAAAACATGTTTTTAATCAGACCTTATTTTGATTCAAATCTAGTTTTTACTTCTAGACGTTATCCAGCATATTCTTTCGGTAATGTAGCCAAAGCTGACAGTACTCAAAAAATTCCTGATCCAGGAGCTCATGATCCCAATTTTAATTATGTCAAACGAAAGCAACCAGCGTTTTCATTTGGTGCCCCTTATAGAAGTTTGAAACCCATGAAGAAACCCGCTCCGAATGCACATTGCGAAAAGAAGGTATTAGAGATCAAAAAATTATTAAAAGTAGCAATCATTTTACATGTAGTAAGTAAAATAAAAATTTAATTTATTTTTAAAATTAATAACATTAAAGTACACTACTAAAAATAACATTTCTTTTTCTCAGTTTATGTACATAAAACCGACAATTCCTGCTCCAACTTTTGGAATTCGTCATAGTCCATATCTAGGCGTTGATGCAGAATATTTGAAACCTGAGAACTTGAAAATTGTAATTAGCTGAGAAGATTAATAGTTATTTAATATTTAAAATATATATTATATTATTTTTTCTATGAATTACTTTTAGAGAAACAAAGTTATATTAATGGTAAATAATATTTCATTTGAGGAGACTATATTCACGATATTAAAAAAAAAATCACTGAAATGATTTTTACAGAAAAACTAAAATTAATGTTGCAAGTTTTTGATAAAATAAATTGCATATTTTTTAAGCATTTTCAACAGTAAAATAAATAGCAACGAAAGACAATTTATCATTCAAAGTTAATAACTCACCTTGAAAATGGGACGACGCCACCGCACTTTTTCGTATATTTTTACATCAAAGCTTATTTATTTTCTTATTAAAATATACGTCGATATTTCTATATTCTACATTAGCTTATGAACCGTGGGTACGTTTTATACAATTAAATAGAGGTTTTAAACATAACTGTAAAGCAAATGTGATGTTACAAAATTTCTTTTTAACGACTTCGGCCACCGTCGTCAAAAAATTTGCTAGAAAGATAAAGAAAAAAAACCTCGTATTATAGGCCTTCTAACTATTAGAAATAAATTTATAACAACGAGAATGTACAGAATGGTATGTAGGACTGAAGAGTTTGGCGTCGATTCCTGTAAATAACAAAACATGAAGGATTTTGTAAGGAAAACTAATAAATGGTTCCTCTGTGCTCATAGAAATTTTAAATATATAGAGGGGTTCATTCACTGACACTAATAATAATTAATATGGCACCACTGTTTAATTTCAAAAAGCGACTAAAACCTGATATCCCCAATGTATCGCTTATGCATCCTTTTTGATATTGATGATTTTGGATGTATATTAGGTATTTGAATTTAAATACGAGTGTGTAACTCAAAATAGGATTTTATGTCAATAATATATTGATAAAAATGTTTTAATAAATTTCACAGTAACATGGTTAAAGGCACGCTATAAGTTGAAAACATTCTAATTTTTTATTATCAATTTCAATCAGCTAAAAATTATTCATACGGATTTTGTTTTTTTAGAATTCAGAAACTTATCTATTATAATAACTGAAAAGATTCCTAGCTCTCAGGCACCGAGTCTTATAGGACGACTGTGTTCATACTTCATAAGTATGTTCTGGCTTTCTCATATTGACTTTTTATTATTAAGTGTACTTTGCTGAAGCGATCATTCTTTCTTATCCAATAAACACTGCTGACAGCAATATTAATATTTATTAATGTTTTTTTAAACATAGATTTATATGTCAAATGCAGAACTCATCAGTATTTAAAATACTTTTAGTCTCTTAAATTATTTAAACTTTATTATCACGTCCAAAATATGCAACTCCCTTACATACTGAAGCCATTACTGTAGTGATGATTTCTCCGAAGAGAGTTCAACTACAAAAACGTATTCCAGGTACTATAATTTTTTTTTTTTTTTTATAGGATGGCTTATTACAAAGTTCACATGTAAGTCAAAAAGTGCTGCTATTCAAAAGATTTCTAGCTATTTTCTATTTTGTCTTGGCTGCTATCAAAATAGAGGAATCATTATCCTCGTAGATTAGGGCTATGGTAGAAAGCGATTAACAATAAAGTGAGGGAAAACGTTGGGAAAATAAAAATATAATAATACATATAGTTGACCTCGGTTATAGATACTTCAAATATATGACTGCATTTTAAAAACTATTTTTTTCATACGTATGCCTCATTTTTATTTGAAATTTGTTTTTTCTCATAATCCCAGACACGAGAGGACATTATAAAGGTAATTTAAATACATTCATATATTTTGTATTCAATTTATTTAGGGAACGCAATTTTTAATTATCCAGACAAAGACGGGATTTCAATGGACTGGTTTTTATAAATATAAAGTAATAAAATTAAACTAATTGCTTGTTAAGTAGAGCGAGTCGTGGGTCGCCGAGAAAATTACATTAAATTAGAACACCGTTGGCGCTTTTAAATCTGATTGTAGTATCTTTTAACTGAAAACAAGGACAATAATTCTCTAATACTGTTTTTATTTTTTTGAAAAAGGACTTACATATTAGTTTAAATTTAAGGTACCTTGTCAATTATATATACTATAAGTAAATAGTTGACATAATTAAATATGATGAAATAAGTGTGTTGTTACATATCTAACTAAATAAAATAACGAAAATCATCATGTTGACCAAATAGGTAAGTTTTTATAATAGGTTAACAAGATTAAAAGAAAGAAGACAAAGCTATGTAGATACAAATAAGAATTTTAGTGTGATGGGACAAATAGAGTCAATTAATTTTGATATTAACAACAACTTTGATGCTAATTCTGCAACATTTTCAACAAAGACATAAATAACAACTACACAAAACAAAACTTTTGTTGCCTGGCTTACTTTGAAAAGTCGAGCAATCTCATGTTTCAAAAGGAAAGCACCGTCTGTATTAAACATGATACGTACATTTACAATGCTGCTTTAAGCACATCTGTGCTATTTGAGGTTTGTACATAATTTAAAACTTTAAACCTTTTGGTATTTTATGTGATTTAAAACATTAGAATGTCGTTCAACTGTCATGTTACATTATAAATTTATATAAGATACATACTAGTATATTCGTTATATAATAATTGTCAGTCAGCTTCAATATTGTAACGCTTTGAACGCTAACTATCCGACTGAGAGTTTGTTAGTAGATCCGAATTTTAGACAGTAGATTTCATATGGATTTCAATACTCTACTAAATTTTTTTGGAACTTTAACAAAAAGATGTGTTATGAAAATTTTTCTTGTCTACTGTATGTGAATTTTTCGAAGTTATTGAGTTATATATTAGGATAACATTTCTATAGTAAAGAAAAAAGTAGGTTTAAATACACATACCATTGTTTCAAATAAAGTATTTGTTTATAATCTATGGAACAGAAAACGTCAAGGTGATTCATATTTTTTAAAAAATGGTTGAATTGAGGACCTCCATTTTTAAATTGATTAAAAAACTGGTATAATTTTTACTGAAAAGTTTTTTTAATTTCGTAAATTTTTCAACATCTTTTGTTTTTACAAAAATTCGTGCCCTGTTTTCCATTCATCCTGTATATTGTGACCCAAGTGTTATTGTGTTGGCCTGGACGCTAAGTATTAGAAGTATGACGTTTTTTATGTGACAAAAAATATAAATACATTCATGTGCTAACTGAATGTACTTTATTTTTATTATTAATTTACCATTTAAACTATTAAGACATATACCTATTATCTAATATAATAATTACTTCGATAATTCGTTAATAATAATTACTAGTGACGAATGTTTCTCGTCTAAACATTTTTAGAAATGTAATTTATATTATTTATGTTCTGAAGATTTCGATTTCCGTTTTATGTCATCCACAAACGCATAGGAAAACGTTTTCAGGAAGGGGAAATTGGGAATCGCGAAATCTTGCGACCTTTGCGTTAAACAGAAAATATTTCTTAAGGCTTATAATGAAATACGTTTATATAACGTTTACTAGTGTTTATTTTATTAGTGTTTCCAAGTCTCTAGGTTTAATTAATGAATTAACCTTAATAGAAAATATATTATGTTAAATTAAGTATGAAAGCATTCATAAATTACGTCTCCATACAAGGATACAAGAATGTTGTTTTGGAAACTATATTTCACTGTCCGCATTAGGCACCATTCCAAAATTTTAACAGGTTCGGTCATTTATACTTGTAACAGTTAACTACCTCTGCAACACCAGACTATAACATCAAATCGTGGGTAACTCTTAAACTTTGTTATATAAATTTACTTCCTTTTCATTTTGTTTATTATTTAACAAGAATTTTTTTGTTGGGATCATAAATATATTTGTATGCAAAATGCAAAAAAAAGCAAAATCATTAGTAGGTAGATAACTCAGGGACGAAACCATTTAAATTTTTTAAGGATATTTCTTTTATTTTAAATACAAATGACAAAGTTCAAGTTGATATAAAATTGACACTTATATGAAAAAACCTAACACTGTTAACTTTCAAGCTTATTCTAATTTTACTAGGAATAATTAAATATAGAGTTTTTAAATTACCAACTAAATATGTATTATAGGCAAGTTAAATGTAAAGTTTATAAGATTTAGTATCGATTCCTTAGTACATGTGATTATTCATAGTCTGGGATAGCGAATGCATGTTAAGCGAAGACATGCAGGTTTAAATGGTTTTAGAATTTTCTAAGTTCCTTCAGCGGAATGAGGGTAAGGCGGAACCAGCAACGTCTCACGTCCTAATTATGCCTACCTGGGTGTTGTCCCATCGTAATGGCCGTCATTTGTGTGTTAAATTCATTTATTTTAGTTTTTTTTTTTGAGTATAGTATAGAATGGAAGTCACGTTATTGATTTTAAACCATAATAAATTGTATTTAAATTTAGATGTAGTGATTATCTCTTACCTAATTCAGTGTAATCTAAAATACTTAAGGAAATAAGTGCCTTGAATGTGATAAAATTTTCAAGATGTTTTAGAACTTTTCAATTTACTTTCATTTTAATTTTCCTCTATTGCGAAATAATAATCCTCTATTAATGCCCTCAGTTCATAAAATCATCAGAAATTTGTACATTGTACAAACAACTACACTTATTTTCCATTTAAAACTTTTATATATTTTTAATATCACATTTGGAGTGCTTTTAAACTATTTAGTGTAAAGGACTTAATACTGTTATATGCAAACATGAGGATGTAAAATGTTTTAAAGCAGAAAAATACATTTATATATTTTAAATCTTAAAAAAACTATACATGTTATAATCTTTTTACTATTAAAAAAAATTAAAGTTTATTTTCTCTTTTTAAAGCCTTTGGAGAGGAAATTTTGTTTAGAATCGCAATCAAAATTTAACATTTTTATCTTATGTGGCGTGATCACGGATGCTGAAATGAAACCAAAATGTGGGGTGAAATGGAAAACTTAATAATTTTGGGGTCAAATCCATAACACGTAGTTTA